AAGTACCTGTAACAAAGGGAACAAAAGAGAAAGAATTACTATCAAGCATTACAATGCGTCAACACCTAGTGATAGACATAACAACAAAAAGCATCCACACCATCAAATACAATACGTAACGTACTGAGTATAACAACTGATATAATCATAGCAACGGTGACATAGACCTAACATCCAAAATTCTGCAGCAATAACGATGACAACAACCAAAATAATCATAACCCCATACGAACATATAAGTACACTACACAATAGTAATGGCATACACGTGAAGACAGAGATGACGCCAATAGCGACAAGCTTCTATTAGTACATCTCCTCGAGTACTACTATTGTAACCAAAAGCAACATTAGCATTTCATTCACCACCACCGCAGAGCTCCTATGATCTATACCACCAGTTTCCTATTCTTCATCATTATTATGGTTCTTATCATCATCATCATCATCATCATCATCATCATCATCATCATCATCATCATCATCATCATCATCATCATCATCATCATCATCATCATCATCATCATCATCATCATCATCATCATCATCATCATCATCATCATCATCATCATCATCATCATCATCATCATCATCATCATCATCATCATCATCATCATCATCATCATCATCATCATCATCATCATCATCATCATCATCATCACTATCATCATCATCATCATCATCATCATCATCATCATCATCATCATCATCATCATCATCATCATCATCATCATCATCATCATCATCATCATCATCATCATCATCATCATCATCATCATCATCATCATCATCATCATCATCATCATCATCATCATCATCATCATCATCATCATCATCATCATCATCATCATCATCATCATCATCATCATCATCATCATCATCATCATCATCATCATCATCATCATCATCATCATCATCATCATCTTCATCATCATCATCATCATCATCATCACCTCTCTTCCTGTCACGAACCTCTCTTCCTGTCACACTACAGTGCGGTCGCAAAAAAACTGTCCTCCTGCGTTATTCGCCTCCAAATCTTTGGATTTATTCTCACAGAGACCTACGTGCCATCATTCGATTTGGCTCCGCGAGCTCCTCCTACCACTGTTCATCTATTGGATCTATCATTCACGGATCACCAACAAACTGTGCTCTTGGAAATTCGAAGTCAACCGTATTTGAAGCTTATCGGATGTTTTATTTTTCCTCTCGTCGCATAAGAACTCTTGTGGTCTTATTTTAAAGATCTTTTTGAGAGTCACCCGATCAGCTTACTACCATTCCTTCAAGTCGCTCTACAAAGCGATAGTCGTCAATTTGCTCTGCATTTGGAACTGCCACTGTCGTCACTAGACAGTATTTTCCAAGTCACCTTGCTTTGCCTCAGTCGCTTTGTCTCGCATCGCTGTCTACCCGTCTGGATCGATAGCACGCACATCGCCTGGACCTGCTGACCTCAAACCAGCGCCGATCGCCACGCAGCGGTGCGTCAGTATCTCCATCCACTTCCTACCCCTACTGAGAACATGTCTCGTATGAAAAGCAAATGCGAATCATGTGCTAAAGTGGTGAAAAATGGTCTTGTGTGTACCATGTGCTTGAAAACCTATCACACTACCTGCCTTGGGAAGAAGTCGACTCAAGCAAACACCGCAGAGTCGCCTTGGTTCTGCCAAGTATGCAAGTCTATTCCATTTGTTAGCTGTCTATCTGTGCTACTGAATAGGTGTGAAAGACTAACCGAAGCGGTCGAGCAACTGGTGAGTGCCAGAGTTACACCCATGGGAGGAAACGGACCTGCACTTGTGAGTGAAAATAACACCCCGAACTCACTAGTCAGGCCGAAGAAGCGAGCCAGGCGTCCCAACCGAACCCCAACGACTCAGCCTCCAGCAGTATCAACTCCATTCTCTCTCCCTCCTATAAGTAAAAACAGTGCCTGCAGCGCGCCTGCCTCAACTTCTGTACTGTGTGCTGCACCTAGTAGTCTGTTCACTACACTCGAGACTGTAAGCTACAGTCAACCAGCCATAGTGAACAACCCGGCAACGTACGCATCGGTTGCTGCCAAGCAAACACCGGAAAGAGCACCGGTAACCTTTGTGCCCGAACTAGAGAAAACAAAACTGCCGCAGCACGGATGGCACACACCAAGGCCGTTCACAAATTCAACAAAAACACCAGATACTAAGCCTCGAAATCCAAAACCAGTAGCCACCAGGCGCAACCATGGTGTCCTAAACATTGTATGCACTAATGTCCCCGAATCCAAATCCAATACAATTAAGGGTAAGTTGACGGACGATCGAAATCAGTGGGGTTCCATCTGTACGTCGATCGGAGTCCATGCTAATCCCACGACATTAAAAAGAATCTCGCGCCACCCAAACGCGTTGCACTACGGCGAACCCCGGTTACTTCGGGTAACACTAAACTCGGCGGACGAGACTGAGGCCGTTCTGCTGTCCGCGAATCGTCTCCGCAACGACTCAAGTGGAGTGCGCATACTACCCGAAATCCCGTGGAAAGAACGTTCAGGGGATCCCGCTAACAAAGATAGGTACAGAATAAGTCAAGATAAGAAAACAGTGATTGCTCACGGTGTTCCTGAGCTTACTGACTCCTCTTCCGACGATGCTCAGATGCATGACCGCGAGCAATGGCACTACATCCGGGAGGTTCTTTCTCTCGAAAATGTGGTGGTCACCTCGTTGACAAGGATCCCCATATCACCAAACTATAAAGGGTGCGGTCCCAGGCTCTTAAAACTTGTGTTACAGTCAGAACAAATGGCACAAACCCTACTAGCGAACTGGATTAAATCCCGTTGCAGATTGCCAACGGAAATTCGTCTGAAAGCAGCAAGAACACCAACACCTTTTAATGACAATTCAGTAGAGGCACAACTCTTAGTGAAAACGCCAGCTGCAGGACCCGACTCGGGGACGGTTTCAAGAGTAGCCATACTATCCGGAGGGGTACAGCAGAGCACGAGCAAACACCGGGATTCGGAGCATCTGATACCTGCTTATATATCAAATACTTCTCTAGAGTATGCAACCCATCCAAAAAACGATTAGTCGCCGACCCTTTAATGGTCGGCGTAAACTCATTTGCTTCATCCACCCATCCAGTCGCCGGCCACTCACTGGTCGGCGAAACTTCACGTATGAGTTGTACAACTTCTGAAACATTGATTAAATCTGAGAAACTTTCATGTATGTACACCAACGCCCAAGGGCTCCTCAGTAAAATTAACGAACTTCGACTACGTCAGGTTGCGAATGCTTGGGACCTAATTTCTATTACCGAAACTTGGTTGCATCAAGAGGTGACTGATGCTGAGGTTGAGATAGCCGGAATGTCACTCATCCGGAACGACCGCCCCAGCAGAGGAGGTGGGGTCCTACTCTACTACCGCAGCAATCTACAATGTACAATAGTTGAGGACCTGGAAACACACGTTACCGACTCACTCTGGTGCCGTCTCCGACTGAGACACAACGATACATGTCTCATAGCTATCGTTTACCGCCCCCCAACGTCCACTCTGGAAATGGATTCCTGCTTGATCCGTGGCCTAAACAGAGTAACACGCACTAGGTACAGCCACACTCTCATCTCCGGGGACTTCAATCTACACAATCTGGAGGTTTCGGCATCGCCCAGTGAGCAGTTCAAAGCAGACTTGCAGGAACTGATCGCTAATATCCCTTTGTACAATCATGTCACCACGCCCACTAGATTCAGGACAGCAAACAAACCGTCCATATTGGACCTTGTGCTCACAAATGAAGAGCTCATGATTGACAAGTTATTGATGGATAGTCCATTAGGTCTCAGTGACCACGTAGTAATAACTTTTGACTATGTGTGTTATGCAGAGTATCCATCTGAACACTCGGAACTAACTCATACAATCACACGCTACCACGTATTGAAAGAACTCGCCGACGCAGCTGCTTGGGAATTCTCAAACAAAAGTCCCCTTGACAACGTTTGGGCAGAGTTCGTTAATAAGCTCAGCGACATCGTCAACAAAGCATCAGAGACCAAACCCCGTCGTCCCGCGAAAATGCCTTCAATTATAAGGAGTAGGACTCGCAAATGCCTGGCGATAAGGGATGCAGCATGGCGTGCCTACAAGATTAACCCAGACTCAGAGACTTGGGGAAATTTCCTGGCCCATCGCAACCATTGCACCGCACTTGTCCGTGAGGACAAAATAACTTATCAACAGTGCCTAGCCAAAAAGTTCATGGCAAACAACAAACTGCTGTATAAGCATGTCAATAAGCTTCGTAAAGTGAAGCATGGAATACCCCCACTATTCACGACAGGCGGTAGAGTACAAAGCGCCGAAGAAGCAGCTAATGCCCTGCGGCTGCAATACGCCCCAATTTTTGAACTCGCAACATCTACCTGTCCCATAATATTAAGCTCATTACCGACACCTTTGTTTACAAATGTTATTTTCAACCCATCAATTGTGCTAAGGAAGTTACTCTCACTGCGTGAACATAGTTCTCCGGGAGCAGACAACATCCGCCCGAAGGCACTGAAGGCTATGGCCACCAAGCTAGCTGAACCACTGTCACAGTTCTTCCAAAGGTGCTTTGATGAACAACAAGTCCCCACTATGTGGAAGTGTGGCATTATAACCCCTATTTTTAAAGGCGGTAGCCGTTCCGATCCTGCAAACTATCGTCCAGTGACTCTCCTCCCTGTGCTCGCGAAGGTGATGGAAGCAGTCGTCGCTGAGGCTTTAATGGACTACCTGGAAAAAATGCAACATCTTGGTACCGGAACAGCATGGCTTCCGTCAACATCGGTCATGCACCACCAACCTACTGATTGCACGAGGTAGTTGGACGGAAGTGGCCGATGATGGGGTCGGAGTCGACGTCATCTATCTGGACTTCTCCAAAGCTTTCGACCGCCTTGATCACCGCATCCTACTTCAAAGACTACAAAGTTACGGAATCGGAGATCCTGTA